TCCAAGGATGATGCCCCTGGGACTTGTTTCCCTGTCCCCAGGATCCCACTGGACTTGCACCAAGGTGTTCGAATTACAGTGTCACTACCGAGACCTTGTGTCCTGTCAGTAATACAAGCTGCAATCTGTGTCCATTTCTGATACCCTGACTGTCCCAATCCTCCCTCTTCCCAATCAACAAGGGGGTGGGCACAGTGTGAGAGTAAGAACTAAGCCTCAAGTTAGCACTAAGGGCCTGGTAGGGCACAAGGCCCTACCCACTATTAGGGAGGAGGCTGGGGTGGAAGCATCACCTGCGCCCAGGAATTGGAAAATAACATGGGCAAAACAGGTAGACCTTTTTGAAATTAAAATTGAAAAGCGAACACTAAGCTTGGTGTTTTCCTTGGTTTATTTGCTGCCCTGCAGCATTCCCTGAGTGGTGAGACTCAGATGAGGCTGGGGTGGTGGTGGCCTCTCCCGTGTTCTGTTCTGCGGGGGCCAGTCATCGCCCCTGAGGCAGCTAGAGAGGCTCACTGCTGATCCCTACACCAGTGAGTTCACAGCCCTTGAATTGCCAACTGCGTTGGGGGAGGTGGGGGTTAAGACCTCAGAAATGAGCTGAGTGCCCGCGACTCTGCAGTCTTTTTTTTTTGGTCAGTCATGGGGTTTGAACTCTGGCTTGGGCGCTGTCCCTCACTCTTCAGCTCAAGGGGAGCACTCTACCACTTGAGCCACAGCGCCACTTCGAGTTTTCTAGTGGCTTATTGGAGATAAGAGTCTCACGGAGTTTCCTGCCCGGGCTGGCTTTGAACTTTGATCCTCAGATCTCAGCCTCCTGAGTAGTTAAGATGATAGGCATGAGCCACCGGTGCCCGGCTCTTTTTTTTTTTTGATCAGTCATGGAGCTTAAATTCTGGGCCTGGGTGCTGTCCCTGAGCTCGCCACTTCTGGTTTTCTCGTAATTAATTGGAGATGGTCTCATAGACTTTCCTGCCCGGGCTGGCTTTGAACCATGTTCCTCAGACCTGAGCTTCCTGTGCAGTGGTAGATCAAGATCTACCACTGTACTTTCTCACCCTTTCCCCCTTGAGTTCTATACCCTCTCTCCCCACCCTTCCAAAGATATACTCTCAAATATACCATACATAATGTAAAGAAGACAGCATCATCAAAAACTAAAAAAAGGGCTGGGAAGGTGGCTCAGTGGTAGAGTGCTTGCCTTGCATGCATGAGGCCCTGGGTTCGATTCCGCAGCACCACATAAGCAAAAAGAAAAAACAGTGGCGCTGTGGCTCAAGTGGTAGAGTGCTCACCTTGAGCTGAAGAGCTGAGGGACAGCGCCCAGGCCCAGTTCAGGCCCCACGACCGGACACCCCCCCCCCCCCCCCCCCGCTCCTCCCACACACAGGAAGAAGCCTTGCTCTGGTGGCTCATGCCTGTAATCCTAGCTACTCAGGAGACTGAGATCTGAGGATCACAGTTCAAAGCCAGCCCGGACAGCAAAAGTCCGTGAGACTTATCTCCAATTAACCACTCAGAAAAACAGAAGTGGTACAATGGCTCGTGGTAGAGGGCTAGCCTTGAGCTGAAGAGTTGAGGGACAGTGCCCAAGCCCAGAGTTCAAGCCCCATGACCAAGCAAAAAAAAAAGAAAGAAAAAGGGGGGAAAGCTTTTGTGCTTGAAGCCAGTCTCTACCATTTGAGCCGCAGCGCCACTTCTGGTTTTCTGGGCATTAATTGGAGGGAAGTCTCACACTTTCCTGCCTGGACTGGCTTTGACCCACAATACTCACAGCTCAGCCTCCTGAGTAGCTAGGATTACAGTATGACCCACAGGCGCCCAGCTAAAGCCACAGCTGGTAAGCATTGTGAGAACACTGGTCTCCTGAGGTCGATGCCGCCTGCTCCCCATGAAGAATGCCACACACATCTTGCTAACACCAGCAGAAGGCTGTCGGGCAGGTGTGGCCCATGGCAAGGCCTCTCTGCCCCAGCTTTTGAGCCCATTGCTCTCGGGGAGGTCCTGGGTCCAGGTGTCAGAGTGGTTCCCATTCCCACAGGGCCAAGGGCACCTCTGTGGGTCTCCCCAGCAGTCTGGAGCTTTCCTCAACCCACCGGGTGCTTGGAGGGTAGTTTGGGGAAAGTCTCACTTTACAAGGCGGGTGTGGCAAGGGCTGGGTATTGGGTGAAAAGAGGTCTGCCAGGAGCCATTCGGCTTCTCTTCCTTTGCACAAAGAGGAGGCAGGTCTAGAAGGTCCTTTCTGCCAGAGAGTGAGGTTATGTGCCCACCCATCCTAGAAATAACGAGCAATTAGGAAGAGGAGTCTGGGAGTTTCCAGAGCTGCTAGGATCCCCTAAGCTGTGCTTCCTCTGGGAGTGGAGCAGTCCTTCTGGGTGATACTTTACCCAGCCCCAGGTTTTGTCTTCCCTGCACCTGGCTGAGGCCAGGGTGCGTCACCGGGTGTCTTGGGAGGAAGGAGGGCACATTGCGTGGAGGGACTAGCAGAGAAGAGCAGGCCTCACCTAGCTCTGGCCAGGTTTTACAGGCTGCATTCCCACGCCCACCAAATGCTGGAGAGTGGTGCTGCAGTGGTGCTGGTTGTCTTGCTGACCCTGTACTGAAGTCACCTCCACAACAGTGGAGAGCTGGAAATGCTAGTGGGAATTAGGAGTGGGGCAAAGAACTATGGCACTGTAGGTAGGAGCGCAAATGAGGGCAGCCACTCTGGAAGGTGATCTGGAGATTCCTTAAATGACTAGAAATAGGCTGGGAGTGTGGCTTGGCTGTAGAGTGCTTGCCTAGCATGCATGAAGCCCTGGGTTCCATTCCTCAGAACCACACACACAGAAAAAGCCGGAAGTGGTGCTGTGGCTCAAGTGGTAGAGTGCTAGCCTTGAGCAAAAGAAGCTCAAGGACAGTCCTCAGGCCCTGAGTTCTAACTCCAAGACTGGTTAAAAAAAAATACAGGCCAGATGTTGGAGGCTCAGGCCTGTAATCCTAGCTACTCAGGGGGCTGAGATCTGAGGACAGATGTTTTGAAACCAGCTAGGGCAGGAAAGTCCATGAAACTATCTCCAATTCATCATAGAAAATGCAGGAATGGAGCTGTAGCTCAAGTGGTAGAGCACTAGCCTTGAGCAAAAGGAGCTCAGGGACAGTGCCCAGGCCTAGAGTTCAAACCCCAGGAGTGACAAAAACAAAACACTTAACAATAGGACTTCTCTGTGATCCAGCAGTGATACCACTTTTGGGCATCTACCCAGATTACAAACCAGGATATAGTAAAGATACTTGCACACCCATTTATATTGCTGCACTGTTCAAAATAGCCACGCAATGAAAGCATCCAAGATGCCCTACAATGGATGGCTTAAGGAAATGTGGTACATGTATACAATGTCATTTGCAGGGAAACGGATGGACCTAAAAAAATTATGCTCAGTGAAGTAAGTCTTGCCCAAGGGGAAACAACATCACCCATATGTGAAAACTGTATCTAGAATACAAACATGCAAGTTAACACATACAGGGTCTATGCATATACATAGTGAAGGATGGTGTACTTGGAGAAGTTCATTGGTGTAACTATGAACACCAAACCATTTGACAAAACAAATACCAGGAAGCTGAAACATGCTATGTGGGAGGAAGCGGGGAGGAAGTGTGAACAAATGCGGTCATTATATTCAATGTACACCTTGTAAAAACTGAACTTCAGCCAGGCACCGGTGGCTCACACCTGTAATCCCGGCTACTCAGGAGGCTGCGATCTGAGGATCACAGTTAAAAGCCAGCCCAGGCAGGAAAGTCCATGAGACTTTTATCTTCAATAAACCACTAGAAAACTGGAAGTGGTGCTGTGCTCAAGGGGTAGATGCCTCGCCTTGAGCTGCAGAGCTGAGGGACAGCACCCAGGCCCAGAGTTCAAGCCCCATGACCAATCAAAAAAAAAAAAATTGAACTTCATAATGTGAGGGTAAGGATGGAATGAGGAAAGATGGGGGAAAACAATGGAAGAAGTGACACTGATCAAGATGCATTTGTGCTTGGACTGTGGCTCAGTGGTAGAGCGCTTGCCTAGCATACATGAAGCCCTGGGTTCCATTCCTCAGCACCACATACACAGAAAAAGCTGGAAGTGGTGCTCTGGTTCAAGTGGTAGAGTGCTAGCCTTGAGCAAAAAACGCTCAGAGACAGTGCCCAGGCCCTGAGTTCAAGCTCTAGGACTGGAGGGCAAAAGTGCATTCATTGTACTCATACCTGACTTCTGGGATTGAAACCCCTTTGTAAACTTTTTTTTTTTGTCAGTCATGGGGCCTGAACTCTGGGCCTGGGCACTGTCACTCAGTTCTTTAACTCAAGGTAAGCGCTCTACCACTTGAGCCACAGCACCACTTACGGCTTTTTCTGCTTATGTGGTGCTGAGGAATTGAACCAGGGCCTCATGTATGCAAGGCGAGCACTGTACCACTGAGCCACCTTCCCAGCCCCTGTACAACTTCTTAGTAAAAATAAAAATTATTGCTGGGTGCCAGTGGCTCATGCCTGTCATCTTAGCTGCTAAGGAGGCTGAGGCTGGAAGGGAGCCCAGGCAGAAAAGTCCCCGTGAGACTCTTATCTCCAATTAACTACTCAAAAATTCAAAGTAGCTCAGAGTGGTACAACATTATTATTATTAGCCTTGAGCACAAGAGTTCTGGGACAGCTACCAGGCCTTGAGTCCAAGCCCAATGACTGGCTAAAAAACAACTGACATCTAAACTCCAAGACCCAGCCGGCCACTGAGGTGGTCTTACCATCCGCCTTGGATTGCCCCCATTGCCTCTGAAAAGAGAACAGCAGCAGAGCTCTGGCCCTGGCTCTACAGTGTCCCGTGCAAACAGGAAATGCAGTGCAGTATGACTTGCATGTGTTTGACCTACCTGGGACACTCACTCATCCCTGGTCAGACTGATGTAGACTGGGATCATGTGGGTCACAAAAGCTACTTCAGAGACTGACTTCAAACACAGCAAAAATCAAGTAAGAATAAACTTCATTCTGAAAATACAAACGTGGGCAAGGGCAGTAAGAGATGACACCCAGCTTGAGAACTTCACACATGCTCCAGGACCGATGGAACTGTCTGAGCTCCAGGGGACCGTGTTGGCAGGCAGCTGCTGGGAGGGCGTGCACACTTCCTCGGCGGTGGCAGCATTGGCTGTAGTTCTTGATGGCCAGCTGGAGTGGTTTTGTGCTAGAACTGGGGCTCAAACACTGGCTAGGGCTGGCATCCTACTTCTTGAGCCTCACTTCCACTTCTGGCTTTTTGCTGGTTCACTGACGGTAGAGTATCCAGGCTTTGTCTGCCCAGCCTGGCTTCAAACCCAACCCAGCTGCAGACTCCTGAGTAGCTAGGATAATAGAGATGAACCCAGCTCCAACTTGAAGGGTTTGAGTCTCACCTCTGTTCTCATCTGGAGCTGACAGCCACATGCTCCCTCCTTTGGCAGCGGTGGGAAACTCACCCCAAAAGCTCTGGTTCTGGGTAGCGGTCTCAGTATAGATTCTGTCTCCTGAGAGTTCTACTCTGATTCCTGGAGAGCTGCTACGTGACACACAGCCCTGCTCCGATCTTCCTGGTGTTAGGACTGTCTATCCAAGCTAGACTTGTGCTAGTGCTCCTGCCTCTGCGGGGACACTAACAAGCAGGCTGGGTCCTGGCCCTCACAGGTTATCTAGGTACTGTCTGCCAGCCCTGACCCAAAGCCAGCCTGCTCTGCCTGGCCTCTGAGTTGTTTCTCAGACATAAGGCTGGCCTACAGTATGTTTCAATGATTAACTGTTTACAGTCAGAGTTATGGGAATGAATCCTTCCTAAAGTGGCTCTGAGTAGGCACTTTTTGGTTGTAAAATTGATTCTAGGCTTAGGGAACAAGACACTGGTCCTATTTACTTTGTCTTATTCAGGTGTTGGCCCTGATCTATGGTGCACTTGCCTGTACAAGATAGAAGATCTGCCTACAGCCACTCCTGATAGTCATAGGGGAGAAAAGGAAGAAAAGACCTGGAGTCTCTCCTGCACTGAGAACTGGAGTGCGGGTCCCTGTCTAGCAGCTCCCAGGCAGCCTTCATGTCTGTCCAGCACAGATAGTTTCCGGCTGTCTCCAGCAAGTACTGCCAGGTGGCTGGGCAGGTGGCCCTGCGGCTACCACTGCTGCTGTTGCCGCTGCTGCTGCAACTTCTTCAGGGCTCTGTATGCCTCCACAGCCCGCTCTCTTTCCTGCCCCAGGATCCGCTGCCTGGCCAGTGAGGTAGTCAGAGGCTGCGACACATCAGGGCTCAGAATCTTCTTCAACATCAGTGCCTTCTTCCCAGGCTGAGGAAGGGAAAGTCAGGATGCAGGCTAAGGGACAAGGGTAATAGCAAAGGGCTCAACTGGTAACTGGTCCGAGAGGTCAAAGCCAGTGACAAAGTCCCAGGTCAGACCCCACAGTGGGTCTGACAGTACAATGGACAGCACAATGTGCCTTGGCTGTTGGTCCTTCAGAGCACCAGGGGGCAGACTCAGTGACTCCCCCCACCCCCCATCCCACCTGTGGCATCCCTACATACCTGGTCTCTGCTGAAGCTCTTCCTGGGCTGGGCAGTCAGCTCTGGGGGCTGCAGAGCCACCTCTCCAAACTTCACAGTGTCTGGAGAGGCAGAGCAGACAGAGGCCTGGTGCTGATACAAACCATTTTGTTGGTATGCCTAGAGCCCTTCTTGTCTACCCTCCTCCCCCAAGGATTAAGACACACACATGCTAACTCATCTGTTGGCCCCCCCCCCATTGGTTGTTGCAGAGGAAGTGTGTGTGTGTGTGTGTGTGTGTGTGTGTGTGTGTGTGTGTGTGTTTGAGGGGGAGGGTCATGGGTCCTCCCAGGGGTCTGATGGAAAGCAGGACCAGCTCCCCAGGGACCATGGCTGTGGTGCTTGGCTTTCAGGAGAGCTACCTCGCAGCAATTCCTGCTCCAGCATTTCCACAGCCTTTGCCTCCTTTTTCTGCCGGGCTTTATCTAGTCGCCGCCTCTGGAACCTGGGAAGAAAGCACATTATCCAGATTTCCAAGCTCTCACTCTGCCGAGGAGGAAGCACAAGTCACCCCAGCCTCCAGGGCAGAACAGTGAGCCCTCGACCCTTACCACCAACTCCACAGCTGGAGGCCTACAGGCAGACAGGGAAATGACTTCGATAAGCAGGACTTAATGAGCTGTGTGAACCACAAGCAAAACACTTTTTTTTTTTTTTGCCAGACCTGGGGCTTGAACTCAAGGCCTAAGCTGTCCCTGAGCTAGCACTTCACAACTTGAACCTCTGTGCTACTTCTGGACTTTTCTGTGTATGTGGTATTGAGAAATAGAAACCAGGGCTTCTTGCCTGCTAGGCAACCACACTACCACTAAGCCACATTCCTATCACCCCAAGCAAAACTTTTTTTTTTGGTTGTGGGGCCTGAACTCTGGGCCTGGGCGCTGTCCCTCAGCTCTTCAGCTCAAGGCTAGCGTTCTACCATTTGAGCCACAGCACCACTTCCAGCTTTTTCTGCTTATGTGGTGCTGAGGAATTGAACTCAGGGCCTCAGGCATGCAAGGCAAGCACTCTACCACTGAGCCACCTTCCCAGCCCAACACCTGGCTTGTTAACTGTTTTTCTTCTTTCCCACTTTCCTCCAGTAGCTGGCCTAAAGGTGGACAACTGACTCTTATATCTCTATTTTTCAAGCAATGGGGAAATTTAAAGCAAGGTGCTTGAAGCACCCAGACTCTTCCCTGCACCTTGAAAAATGCTGTTGTGATCAAGACTAACTCCTTTTTGTTTTTGTCGGTCATGGGGCTTGAACTCTGGGCTTGGGTACTCTCCTTGCGCTCTTCAGCTCTAGGCGAGCGCTCTACTGCTTGAGCCACAGCGCCACTTTCGATTTTCTAGGGTTTATTGGAGGTAAGAGTCTCTCGGGCTTTCCTGCCTAGGCTGGCTTTGAACTGAGATCCTCAGATCTCAGCCTCCTGAGTAGCTGGGATTACAGACATGAGCCACCGGCACCCAGCTAAGACTGACTTCTTACTGTGGTTTTTCTGAATCATGGCGTGGTGCCCACTGTGGACCAGGACAACAAAATGTTGCCTGCTGTGTCCTATCACCATAGGACACAATCATTGGGACCCACAGCCTTGCCTCATTGGGGATCCGGTTGTAACTCACGCTTTTTTCCGCTCAGACTTCTCCTTCTTTGGAGCTGCCTTCTCCTCTGGCTGCCGGTCAGCCTGATTCTTGCTAAGGAACAGTACATGCTGCGTCTCCTGTTCCATGCGCTGGATGTAGGCCCCGTCAGATTCCCCCTTCATCTGCTTGAACTTGGGGACAATGATGTCAGGTTCTGTTCCCTTCGCTTCCATCTCCAATGTGTTCTTGAAGACCACCTGGGCTGAGGATTAAGAGCAACTATAGATGTGGCATAGCACCAGGGTCAGGAGAAAGTGGATAATGACAAGATATTTCCTTCCCAGGACTACAGGCAGGGAAGACCAGACTCAAGCAGAAGTAAAGAAAGTGGATCTAAAATGCCTAGCAGATTCCACTCAGGAGGTTGAGATGTAAGGATTGTGGTTCAAAGCCAGCCTGGGCAGGAAAGTCCATGAGACTCAAATTTCCAATAAACCACCAGAAAACCAGAAGTGGCCTTTTGGCTCAAGTGGTAGAGCACTCACCTTGAGCTGAAGAGCTCAGAGACAGGGCCCAGGCCCAGAGTTCAAGCCCCACAAATGACTAAAATAAATAAAATAAAATCCCCAGCACACAGAACCCTGGGGTGTGACTCCACAGACTTTGGTTTCCTCTCAAAGATCTCTACCAGCCAGGTGCCAGTGACTCACACCTGTAATTGTAGTTTTGTTTGTTTTTTATCAGTCATGGGGGCTGAACTCTGGGCTTGGGTGCTGTCCCTAAGCTCTTCAGCTCAAGGCTAGCATTCTACCACTTGAGCCACAGCGCCACTTCCAGCTTTTTCTGCTTATGTGGTGCTGAGGAATTGAACCCAGGGCCTCAGGCATGCAAGACAGGCGCTCTACCATTGAGCCACCTTCCTAGATGGAGCAAAACTTTTTTTTTTGTCCGTCGTGGGGGCTGAACTCTGGGCCTGGGCACTGTCCCTCAGCTCTTCAGTTCAAGGCTAGTGCTCTAACACTTGAGCGACAGCGCCACTTCCGGCTTTTTTCTGCCTGTGTGGTGCTGAGGAATCGAACCCAGGGCCTCATGCATATGAGGCAAGCACTCTACCACTGAACCACCTTCCCAGCCCCGTAATTCTAATTTTTCAAGTGGCTGAGATCTAGATGAGTATAGTTCAAGGCCAGCCTGGGTGGAAGCCTGAGAAATTCCATCTATAAAATAATCAGTGTAAACTGGTGCCAGTGGCTCATGCCTATAATCTTAGCTACATGTATTCAGGAGGCTCCGATTTTAGGATTGCAATTCAAAGCTAGCCCAGATAGGAAAGTCCATGAACCTCATGTCCAATTAACCACCAGAAAACTGAAAATCGCCCTGTGGCTCAAGGTGGTAGAGTACTAGCCTTGAGTGAAAAAACTTAGGAACAGCACCCAGGCCCTGAGTTCAAGCCCCAGGACCGGCAAAAAATAGATAAATGAAGTCTCTGAATTATTTTTCTTTTGCTCCTTCAGACTTTACTGCACAGCTTTTGAAGCAATCCCATAAGTTATGCACAGGGACAAAGACAGACCTATAACACTGTTGTAAATGAGAGTACAAACAATGCATAAGACAAGACAGCTTCTGAAGTATTTTAATGTTTTTAAGTAAATATTTAAATAATGTTTAAATGTATTAAATTTCTGGAAGGTTACACAGAAAACTAAGACTGATTTCAGGAAGACGGATCAGAGTTCAAATATAGAGTCTCATACTTCATTTGTCTCAGAGCTGTCTGATTTCATCACATATTTACATTCTCATTCCCATATGTACAGTGGTAAGGACTAAACCCAGGACCTTGAGCATACTAAGTGCTTTAGTACTGAGCCACATGCCCAACCACTGAAACTTATACTTTTTTAAAATCTAATCTAACAAGAAGTGTCAATTCAATGCTGTATTGCCAAAATGTACCATTCTCACTGGGCTGGGCGCTGGTGGCTCACCTCTGTAATCCCAGATACTCAGGAGGATGAGCTCTGAGGATGGCAGTTTGAAGCCAACCAGGGAAGGAAAGTCTTGAGAGAGACTCTTATCTCCAATTGACCAAAAAAGTGAAAAGTACAGAAAACACTGTACAAAAGGAAATGTCCTCATTCCCTGACTTCTGTAGTTGTGATCCCTTTGTATGTTACCTGGTCTATGATAACAATAAAATTAAAAAAGTGAAAATAAAAAGCCTGAAACGGAGCTGTGGCTCAAGCGGTAGAGCTCGAACCTTAGGTGGAAAAGCTCAGAGACAGGGCCCGGCCCAGAGTTCAAGCCAGGACTGGCAAAAACAAAAGTTTCACTTTGTTGTTGTAGCGTCCGAGGTGTCACACTCCCAGCGGGGGCCCGCACCTACCCTCCTTCTTCCTCTTCTTGTTACTGAGCGGGTTCTTCATCTCCTGGCGGCTCCGCATGATCTCTCGGAGGCGGAAAGGGATCTCCTGGTCATCCAGGTTCTTGGGCTTGCAATTCACTTTCTTCTGCTCCTGGCTGTAACAGAGAGCCCGGGGGGGGGGGGGGGGGGGGGTCTCAAGTAAAGCCCAAGCCGCATCGGGAGGGCGTTGGGCCTGGAGAAGGCAGCGGGGGCCACGGGGCGGGGCGGCCGCGGGGCCTCCGCGGCCTTCCGGCCACGCCCGGGGGCCGGCGCCACCCGACGGGTCCCGGGGAGCGGGGCCCCGACGCCCCCGGGGTTCGTCCCCCCGGGGCCCTCCCTCGGGAACCGCACCCACCGGCGCTGTCCCGGCGGCGGAGCCGAGGGCCGCGGCGCGCGCGGCTGCTCCCGCCGCTCCCGCCGCGCCCGGGGCTGTCTCGGGTTCCCCGACGCCGCCAACCGCGCGGGGCCCGCAGCCCGGCGCCCGGCGGCAGCCATCGTCACGCCGGGCACTTCCCCACAGAAGCCGCTTCCGCCCTGCGACAAGATCCCGCCCCCACAAGGGAGACTTCCGGTTCCTGCGGCGTACGCCCTCCCCCACGACTGACTTCCGGTTCCGGTCCTGCCCCAGGCACTCCGCGCCGTGGAACGCGGTGTCTGGCTGGCTTCGTGCGGGCACCCCGCGGGGCCAAGGCCGGGCTGCTGTCGGTGATGTGGCTGCGGGGCGTGGGCCCGCGAGGCCGGGCCGTGGGCGCCGTCCTCCGAGACTCGGCAAGTACCGGCGGGCGGGTGGGTGAGGGCCCGCCGCGCCTGCGCCCATGCCCGCGCCCATGCCCATGCCCATGTCCGCGCCCATGCCTGCGCCCATGCCCATGTCCGCGCCCATGCCCATGCCCGCGCCCATGCCAGCGCCCATGCCCATGCCCATGTCCGCGCCCATGCCAGCGCCCATGCCCATGCCCATGCCAGCGCCCATGCCCGCGCCCATGCCAGCGCCCATGCCCATGCCCGCGCCCATGCCCATGCCAGCGCCCATGCCAGCGCCCATGCCCGCGCCCATGCCCATGCCAGCGCCCATGCCCATGCCAGCGCCCATGCCCATGCCCATGTCCGCGCCCATGCCCATGCCCGCGCCCATGCCCATGCCCGCGCCCATGCCCGTGCCCATGCCCATGCCAGCGCCTATGCCCATGCCCGCGCCCATGACAGCGCCCATGCCCATGCCCATGCCAGCGCCCATGCCCATGCCCATGCCAGCGCCCATGCCCATGCCAGCGCCCATACCCATGCCCATGCCAGCGCCCATGCCCATGCCCATGCCAGCGCCCATGCCCATGCCAGCGCCCATGCCCATGCCTGCGCCCATGCCCATGCCTGCGCCCATGCCCATGCCCGCGCCCGTGCCCATGCCCATGCCCATGCCAGCGCCTATGCCCATGCCCGCGCCCATGCCAGCGCCCATGCCCATGCCCATGCCAGCGCCCATGCCCATGCCCATGCCAGCGCCCATGCCCATGCCAGCGCCCATACCCATGCCCATGCCAGCGCCCATGCCCATGCCCATGCCAGCGCCCATGCCCATGCCCATGCCAGCGCCCATGCCCATGCCTGCGCCCATGCCCATGCCTGCGCCCATGCCAGCGCCCATGCCCATGCCCGCGCCCATGCCCATGCCAGCGCCCATGCCCATGCCTGCGCTCATGCCCATGCCTGCGCCCATGCCCATGCCCATGCCTGCGCCCATGCCAGCACCCATGCCCATGCCTGCGCCCATGCCCATGCCTGCGCCCATGCCCATGCCAGCGCCCATGCCCGTGCCCATGCCCATGCCTGCGCCCATGCCAGCGCCCATGCCAGCGCCCATGCCCGTGCCCATGCCCATGCCTGCGCTCATGCCCATGCCAGCGCCCATGCCCATGCCTGCGCCCATGCCAGCGCCCATGCCCATGCCTGCGCCCATGCCCATGCCAGCGCCCATGCCCATGCCTGTGCCCATGCCAGCGCCCATGCCCATGCCAGCGCCCATGCCCATGCCTGCGCCCATGCCCATGCCCATGCCTGCGCCCATGCCAGCGCCCATGCCCATGCCAGTGCCCATGCCAGCGCCCATGCTCATGCCAGCGCCCATGCCCATGCCTGCGCCCATGCCCATGCCTGCGCCCATGCCAGCGCCCATGCCCATGCCAGCGCTCATGCCCATGCCTGCGCCCATGCCCATGCCCATGCCAGCGCCCATGCCCATGCCAGCGCCCATGCCCATGCCTGCGCCCATGCCCATGCCTGCGCCCATGCCAGCGCCCATGCCTGCGCCCATGCCTGCGCCGTGCCCGCGTCCATGCCCTCACCCATGCCCATGCCAGCGCCCATGCCCATGCCAGCGCCCATGCCCATGCCAGCGCCCACGCCCATGCCAGTGCCCATGCCCGCGCCCATGCCCTCACCCATGCCCATGCCAGCGCCCATGACCATGCCCGCGCCAATGCCAGCACCCATGCCCGCACCCGTGCCCACACCCGTGCCCGTGCCCATGCCTGTGCCACGCCCATGCCCATGCCTGCACCCACGCGTGCCCACCCAGCCCTCCAGGCCTGTCGATTGGCGTGAGGAGCCCTGCACAAGTCCGCAAACGAGCGAGGGCCAACGAGAGGCGCCCCGGGGTGGGAAGGACATGGTGATGCAGGCCTGGGGCCAGAGCCGGTTGTGCAGGGAGACGCCAGTGTAGCAAGGCCCGCACCCCAGCCCGTCCTTCAACAGCCGGGGACCTAGTAAACCCTGTGACCTGGGGGCCGGCCCCGTCCCCTTGCCGGAGCACACACCCCGCATGTGGCTCTGAACTCAGCAATCCTCACAAATCATACTTTGTCCTCCCATTATGTCCACTTTACCATCGGGGAAACTGAGTCTAGTGGAATGGAAGCTGAGAAAGACATGGAGCCACCTGTCCTATGACAGGAAGGCTGAGCATCCCCTCAGGTGGGGGCCAGGGAGGTTTTGCTGACTTCCTGGAGAATTATGTTTTTTATCCCTCCACAGGGGGCTTGCTGGATCTCGGTCTGGGACTGCTGCTGGAGGCTTTCTGGAAAAGGTATTGTCCTTCCAAGGTGCTTGGCCAGAGTGGGAGCCGGTGATGGCCACAAAGAGTTGGGGATGGACCATGTGGAAGGGGGGTCCCGAGGAGGTACGGACAGTGCCAGGAATCCTCCCAAGATCTCCCCACCCAGTGGAGGTCCCTTAGGATCTTCATACTCTCTACCACCAGAGCTCAAGCCTCCTACAAACTGCTGCATGAGTGGCTGTCCCAACTGTGTGTGGGTAGCGTATGCAGAGACGCTGCTGCACCACTACCAGGACGGTGGGGAGCGGGCCTTGGCCGACCTGGAGGAGCACGTGACTGATGAGAATCTCAAGGCCTTCCTCAGGATGGAGATCCGGCTCCACACTCAGGGTCGAGGCTGAGTCAGCCTGCCCCAGTACCCTCACCGCAGACACCAGCGGGCAGCTCTGGTTCTGGAAGCAGCAGCATCCTCTTGAGTCACACCCCTTTTCTGGGCTTATGTTATCTAGGAATCAAAAGAGTTGTCTTACTGAGTACCTGAGAATAAATGAACTCCTTGTGGTGGCCACATAGGAAGCTTTTATATTGTCCTTTTGGCTTATATTGCCTTGTCAAACGCTGACCAGCCCCTATCTACCTGAAGGGTTCAGGTGACAGCCCCTCCAGCATCCCTGGAGTCTTGCTGATAGCTCCAGTTAGGCTCTGACTGCAGGATTGAGAGAGCCAACTTGTTTCATTGTGAAGCTGGGTGGGAAAACCCTTGAAGACACCCTGGGGAGGGCTCTTGGCCCCCTGCTGGGTTCGTGGGGAGATACCCTTTTTATCATCAGCTAGAGGCCTTCGGCCTGCCCACAAGGACCTAAGCACTGCTCAGAACCAGTCTTTAACTCACTTGGCCAAGGCTCCTAAGGCAGTTGGGGAAAAAGGACCAGAATCAGCAGGCTGGGTCTTGACTGCAGTTCTGGTCCTGGCTACTGTACTGTGGCCCAGAGTAGGACTTGATCTGAGGGTTCTCACTGCTCACGTCCTCATTCTGTACAACTTTTCCATCCTCACTTCTCCCTTGGCAAATGGTTTTGTGTGTGGCAGCATTGGAGCTTGAGCTCAGGGCCTTGTGCTCTCACTTGGCCATTTCATTTAAGGATGGCACTACCACCAGAGCCACACCTCCACTTCTGGATTCTCGTAGATTAATTGGAGATAAGAGTCTCCTTTTCCTCCCAGAGCAGCTAGGATTACAGACCTGAGCAACTACTGCCCGCCCAGTCCTTCAACAGTTTCAAATTTCATGTAAAGGAAAAACTGGATTGTAATTGATTACCCGGAGAATTTGAGCTGAAAAACAAGTTCTTTTTTTTTTTTTTTATTCGCCATGGGGCTTGAACTCTGGACCTGAATGCTGTCCCTCAGCCCCTCAGTACAAGGCCAGCACTCTACTACTTGAGCTAAATGCCACTTCCGGTTTTCTGATGGTTTATTGGAGATAGTTTCATGGACTTTCCTGCCCGGGCTGCTTTTTTTTTTTTTGGTCTGGTCGTGGGGCCTGAACTCTGGGCCTGGGCGCTGTCCCTCAGCTCTTCAGCTCAAGGCTAGCGCTCTACCACTTGAGCCATAGTGCCACTTCCGGCTTTTTTCTTTTTGCTTATGTGGTGTTGAGGAATCAAACCCAGGGCCTCAGGCATGCAAGGCAAGCGCTCTACCACTGAGCTACCTTCCTAGCCCCTGCCCGGGCTGCTTTGAACCGTGATTTTCTCAGATCGCAGCCTCCTAAGTAGCTAGGATTACAGGCATGTGCCACTGACACCCAGCCAAATAAGTTGTTTTTTCTTTTCTTTTCTTTTTTTGTTCGGTCGTGGGCCTGAACTCTGGGTCTGGGCGCTGTCCCTCAGCTCTTCAGCTCAAAGCTAGTGCTCTACCACTTGAGCTACAGCGCCACTTTGGGCTTTTCCTGCTTTATGTGGTACTGAGGAATGGAACCCAGGGCCTCATGCATGCAAGGCAAGCACTCAACCACTAAGCCACCTTTCCAGCCCCCCAAACAAGTTCTTATAAGGACATTTCACATGAATCTGGTTACTGACTCGTGAGACTGCCAAGTGGGGTGCCTTACTAGTGGGTTATGAGGCATGGTTAGTTCAGGTTGGCGTTTTGGACACTGGATGCACGCCATCTAAAACACTGAGAGGCTGGGTGCTGGTGGCTCACACCTGCCATCCTAGCTACTCAGGAGGCTGAGATCTGAGGATTTCGGTTCAAAGCCAGCTTGGGCAGGAAAGTCCCTGTGGGACTCTTAATCTCCAATTAACCACTGAAAAATGGGAAGTGGTGCTGTGGCTCAAAGTGGTAGAGTGCTAGCCTTGAGCAAAATTGCTCAAGGACAGCATCCAGGCCCCTTGACCGACAAAACAGCAACAAAAACCACTCAGAGCTATCTGGCTTTGCCCAGATAAACTAGATTATAGGAACCACAACAGATAGACCCTGGACTGGGCAAGCACCTTGAGCATCCTCACAGCTTCCAGAACAGCCTTGAGGGATTAGCTCAAATGTTTAGAGTTCAATCTCTAGTAAAAAAAGGAGAGAAAGAAAGAACCCTGAAAGAGAAAGATTTCCCTAGAGATGGACCTTGGTGAACTTGGCAGCCTCAGAAGGACATGGAGGATGAGGGGTGAGAGTGTCCTAACCTGTGCGCTCTCTCCCCCTCCTCCTCTCCCTCCACATTGTGCATGTGTGTGTGTGTGTGTGTGTGTGTATGCATGCGTGTGCGTGCGCATGTGCCTGCGGTTACATACAACCTGACCATTGAATTCTACAAAGCTAGCCTTCCTCTGGAATTACATAATTGTGGCCAAGGCAGGGGGAGCACACAGTGTCAGACATCTCCAGGCAAGCTGTTTACCTTGCCCCTTGGGAATAGAACTGCGGGGGTGGGAGGAAGACACACCTGCCTGAGCTTGATTATTCTGCCACATTGGCAGGATCCTGCCTCTTCCCCTTTAGTTTGCATGCTCCTGCCAGGCATCTGTCAGCAACAGCACTGACAGGTGCAAACCCACCCCTTTCATCTCAGTAAACAAAGCTGAACCCAAGAATGAGCCAAATACACGTATGTGGTAAGTGAGAAGGAAACTCACAGCTGAAGTAAGCACCCTGGTCTCTGGGGACCTAAGAAGGGACACTGGGCAGAGCTCTGGAGGCCCAGAGGACGGGAGGGAAGAAGGGGGCACAGGCCTAGGAAATGTCGCACCCAGGGAAACAGGTACAGAATCCTGAAGGTCAGAGAAGAAGCAGGGTTGAAAAGAATAACTGGAGGTGGCCTGGGCCGCCCAGTTTCTTCAGTGGTGGAGAAGGCAGGACCAAGCCACAGCCAGAGCCAGTGGCAAAGTGGGCAGGTGGCTTCTAGAAGAGTCCATCCAGGGGCAGTTCAGGACCATGCTTCCCCCACACCTTGGCCATCTTCAAGGTATCCTCCCTTCAGGCCTCTGGCCACACCCCGCCCCTTCTGGCTCCTTCTAGAATTGTTAGTTGTCCTCCTGGGGTGCCCAGTAATCTCATTTGTTGCTGTCAGGGGCATCCTAATCCGATCACTGGAAGCAGATAAATGCCGCCCTGCTGAGCCAGCTCCAGCCGCACTGGGATTTGCGGCTCCCAGACCCATCCCGCACATGGTAAGTAGTGACCCATCCCATTGCCTTTCCCTGTAGTGAGGCACCTGCCCATTTGCCTGGGCTGGTGGGGAGCTCACAGGCCTCTATTACTGCTGCTGAACTCCGGGGTCTTTAGGAGTTTACCTGTTGCCTGTCCTTCAGAGAAGCTATCCTGCCTCTCGGCTCCTCTGCTGACCTCCGTGTTAAATAGTGGTGTCCCTGTCCCCAAAGCCAGTGATGGCCCGGGAGCCTCAGCTGACCAAGAAGCACCCGTCAGGCCAGGGAGGTCAGGGAGCATTTCCATGGAGACAGCCATGGGTAGTTGGAGCTCTGTCAGGAGCCAGAGGTTCCCACAGGAGGCCTGGGGCCTGGGGCTGGGAAGCAGGGCTCCACATCTGGAGAGTAAGGGAGGAACAGCCGGGCCACCCAGGTCCTGACCCTGGGTTCTCTTAGGCTCGTGTCCGTCCTAGGGACGGCTCAGTGGCGTTTCCTGTCAGTTTTCCATGTGTAGCCCCAGAGCCTTCTGCCAGCATGCAGGGCTTGTGCAGGCCTGGGAGATTAGGACTCTCCCTTTGGCCATAGGCTTAGAGGAAGCTGAGCTGCCCTTGGCCGAGGTCACTGGGGCTTAGAGCCTCTGGGGACAGGAGGAAAGATGTTTTTGTGTGGTGTGGGGAAGGACGTGGCCTGATCCTGAGCAGCCACACCAGAGCCCGGAGTGAGGCTGACCAGAGCAGGCCCCAAGCGCAGCCCAGTGGGCTGCCTGCCAGCCAACACGGGACAGCAGCTTGGGACAGCACTAGCCTCCCTCCCCTCCCTGAGCCTCAGCTTCTCCCTTTGAGAAAGGGAATGGGAGGGCGCAGGTTACAGGGCTTAGCAGGCACCTGGTTCTGAGACAGACCCCTTCCTGAAAGGAACCTCTCACCCCATTGTGTGAGATATTAGTTATCATCCCTGCCTCTCAACCCCAGGGGACAGCTGATAGACAGGGCAGCAAGCAGATAAATATAAACAGGGACAATCAACCTCAGCAGCACATTAGCAGGAGGAAGTTGGGCTAGTATAAGATATGAAGAAACAAATCAGGCTCTGGAGACACAGAAACCATGCGGTCAGAGCTAGGAGAAGACACCCGGAGCACTGAGGGCAGTCTGGAGATGACTGTCACGAAGGGAAAGTCAAGAGACTACAGCAGCTGATCTGCAGGGCTGCCAGTCCCACCGGCGTCTCCAGATCACTTGAAGTGTGAAACAGTTGGATCCCACTCCAGTCTGTAGGAGGGTGGAGGGGCAGTCATGGAGAGTCTTCCATGGCTTTCCTGCAGGGTGGTGATGAGAAGCCGTGGCTTGGGACCTGTCTCAGGGCTGAGGATGGGCTTGGGGTAGCCTGGGTGTGTGGGACTGGGCAGGGGAAGGGAGACCACGGACTCCATGGCTGAGTTGTGCGTGGCCGGCAGCCGTGGGGTGGAGCTGGCCTCTGGGGGCTCAGGCAAGGGAAGGAGAGGTCAGGAAGTAGCTCCTCAGGACGGGAGCTGCTGCCCGGGTTAGACTGACGGGCAGCAGGGCTGATCCTGGTCTTGGCTCTTCTGTCTGGTGGGTTGAGGTTCAGAGCAGAGATGCAGAGCAGGAAAACTGACCGGAATCCCTGCCTCCTCTTCCCCTAGCGTGTATGAGGAATAGAAGCCCAACTTGAGATCCTCCAGAAGCCCAGGGTCACTGCACCGTCTACCGGCCTCACCATGAGCCTGGAGCCTCCGAAGGCAGAGATCCGGTCAGCCACCAGGGTGATAGGGGGACCAGTCACCCCAAGGAAGGGGCCACCCAAATTTAAGCAGCGGCAAACCAGGCAGTTCAAGAGCAAGCCTCCCAAGAAGGGCGTCCAAGGGTAAGCAGAGTGAAGGGAGCCTCCGAAAAGAGAAGCACGCATTCCCCCTCCTCCCCCAG